TTCTTGTTTAGGTGTAGTTGTTTTTTTGTTTTTGTTCTGTTTGTTTTTAGTATCCTGGTACGTGACATCATACAGTATTGCCTTTTCTGTCTTATTTCACTTAGCATAATGTCCTCAAGGTCCGTCCATGTTGTTGTAAATGGCAGAGTTTCCTTCTTTGGTATGGCTGAATAGTATTCCATTGTGTATGTGTATGTATGTGTGTGTGTGTATGTGTGTGTGTGTGTATATATATATATACACACCATTTTTCTTAATCTAATTATCCATCAGTGAACACTTAGATTATTTCCATGTGTTGACTGTTGTAAATAATGCTGCAGGAAACATGGAGTGTGACTATCTCTTCAAGACCCTAATTTTAGTTTCTTTGGGTAGATCTTTAGAAGTGGGGTTACTGGATCATATGGAAGTTCTATTTTTAATTTTTTGAGAAACCTCTATACTGTTTTCCATAGTGACTGCACCAATTTACATTCCCACCATCAGTGCACAGTGTTCCTTTTTATTGACATCCTGGCCAACACTTGTTATATTTTGTTCTTTTGATAATAGTCATTCTAACAGATATGAGGTGATATGTTCTATCTCCTTGTGGTTTTGATTTTTATTTCCCTGATGATTAGTTCCATTTGGTTATAATTTAGTCATTGAACAACACAGATTTTCTTATCCATTTAGTCATTAAACAAGTATTTATTTATTTAGCACTAATCATATGCCAAGCACTTATTTTAGGTGATGAAAATTTATCAGTGAACAAAACAAAGTCCTTGCTCTCATGGAACTTAGATTCTATGGGAGAGACCGACAAGCATTTATAGCATTTATAATCTAATGTCAGTGGAGACATGCTATGAAGAAAGGTTTGCAAAATGAGAGGATGGAGAGAGAAGTACATTGAGGTATGTCCTGCAAGCCTCATTGAGGAGGTGAAGTTGGAGCCAAGATGTGAATGAAATTGAGAGTGAGCCACCCAGAGATCTGGAAGAAGAGAATTTCAAAGCAGAGGGCAAAACTAAGTAAGATTAGATGCCTTTGCTTTCTGGAAGTCATTTTTTTTCTTGCCAGATCTGTGCTATATTTTTCAATATCTAAGATCATTTTGTCTATACAAAAAGTTCTGGAAAAATCCCATTTATTGTGGTCAAGAAAGGTGGAGGAGAAGAAGAGAGACATCTACTTGAAATGGGCAGTGAAAATGCAGAAAATGCAGAAATAACAGGAACATCGTGCCCCAAAGGCTGGCAGACTCTGCCTAGCTTCCTGGCCACTTTTGCAATCCTGACTTCAGAACGCACAGTCAGACACCAAAGAGTTGTCCTACTGCACTTTGATTGTATCTTGGAGCACCCCAAACGCAAGATTAAGAATTACCTGGACAGATCTGTTTGGCAGAGTTGGGGTCAAGCCCTTGCCACCTGGACTGCAGCTTGGCTTTCTGAGACAGGGCCATGGACACCTCACTCAAAAGCTCTTCTGACTTCCTTTCTTATTCTTCACAAATCATCACTCAGGACTCATGTTCTAAGGAAACTGGCCACTGGAACATTGATTTATGGCAGGGATTGCATTCCACCAGCAGTCCAATTTTATTTCTTACCAAAATCCTAGCTACTCAAAATAACATAGAAGCTGTTGGTGGCAGTGGTCTCCTGGAGTGCCATGTGATTTGAGCATAGATTGTACTGTTTCTCTCACACTCACTCTTGGCTGGAGAATGAGAGCAGTCATATGAAAGTGTGTGAGCAGGCTGAACATTGGCCTTGGTCCTCTTTCTGACATAGCAGAATTTGAAAAGAGGAGAGTGGCTATGGAATAAAGGGATGGCGTCTTAGGTTTCTGGCTTCAAGCCCTAGAAAATACCCTAGAGCACCACAGGGAGAAACAATTGGGATGCCCACCCATCTCCCAGTCTCCCCTGCCTCTTGCCTACTGCCTGGTCTTGGACCATCTTAGATCATCCATCTGGTCATCCATTTCCTAGTTCTAGAAGGGACTTAAGGTTGTAGCACAGACACACTTTCTAAGAACCCTGGGAGCCAGCATGGCAGAGCACACTGTGCCCTAGTGGTTTGGGATGTTGATAGCCATCCACTTAGATTAGATATCAGAGGACATGTTTTTAAAGCTATTTGTGGAGGGAGTGTGTAGCTAGGGGTTCTGAGACTGTTCTCTCCACTTCCCCATCCTGCGCAGCTCAAGATCATGGTGAAGTATTTTCCATGCGAGGCTAATCTTTTAAAAACTGACTCGTACTTTGTTATTTGATACTATTTTCTATATATATCAATAAATCTTGTATTATATGTTATCTCAGAACAAATTATTCCTCCTAAGTGACTTTTCACCAAACAAACAAACCCTAAATATTCTTTTAAACATTAACATGTATGGTGATTTAAAAAAAAAGTATAAAAAGTTCTTTGCACTCCCACGGGGATCATCTTGTTCACTTCCTGACATATGTACACCCCAACTTAAAGACCAGTAGAATAGCTCCTATTTTATTAACATTTTATTTTTATTTTAACTATTTTTGTTTGTTTCTTGAAAAATTCTGCTCTTTTCTGAAATCTTACTGTATTCTGAGTTTCAGCAGCACTAGTATATACATAGGCTCTTGGCTTGAGGTAAGGATGTTCTTAGAGGCTGTTAGCTTTGTGGGAACATTGATTCCCATCCCAAGTGATCCCACACTGCCATACTTCAGTATCTGGTTCTATCAGCTTGTAGCTCCAGCTAGGGTGCTCCCACTGTATCTTAACTGAGTGGTAAGTTAATATTTATATCTGTGATGCTGGATTAATGTCTATCTCCTCACTAGGTTATAGGCTCCAGTAGGGCAGGGACCAGGTCTAAGTCTGTCTGTGGTCACATTGTATTCCCAGCTCACAGCAGGGTGCTTTGCACATGGTTGATACTCTGTGGACCCTGGCAGGTGAGTGGATGAAATGATGAAGCATCATTCTCCAGTTATCAGTTGCTACTTCTCCCTAGTACTCAATCCTGTCTTAGTTGCTGGCCATTTTATGTCCAAGTATCTATCATAGCTTCCCCCTCAGAGTGAAGTACCAGGCTCTGTGGTGGATTTTGCTACTCAGAGTGTTGAACTGCTGGCAGTCTCATCTCCAAATAAAGGAGTAAGGCTAGAGGGAGAGGGAGAAGAAGAGGCTGGGCACAGGAGAGACAATCGGGGAGTAGGCGGGGAGAAAGGGAGGGAGAAAGAAATTTCTCATCAGACTTTAAGTAGATAAAAGTTGAAACAGGTCTTTCAATTCCTTTCCCCTTTGCTTTGTTCCTTCTAAAACATTAAACTGTGCTGAGAGTGTACATTTATCATCGTTGATCTCCAGCGAGTAATTATATAAGGTTTCATCCAACTGCATTTCCTGGTTCTTCCCTAAGGAGCTAAGAAGCTCCTCATTAGTAGCTTATACAGCCCGAAGTTAGGATATGCATCAGCGGCACTGGAGGGATGAGGACCGTCAGGAGGGGTGAGAACCTTAAGGAAGCTGTGCATTTAACTGGCTTGTCTCCTGATGCCATTTGAGCCTGTCTTGAGTTAAGAGTCTCCCAGCTGCTCCTCTCAAATCCATTTCCAATTATAAGGCTAACTGGACATGGTCTGCTGTACAGAGTTTCGCCTCAGGTGGTGGTGTGTGGAGAAAGAATGTCCTACAAATTCAGGTGTTCTCCACCGTTCCTTCTGACTATTGGGTTCTTAAAGGAGTGGTCTCTGATGTGGAGTTTAGTGAGCAGGATGGTTAAGTGCCCTTGAGATCAACACTTACTAAATGAAAGAGGAAGGAAGCCTGAGTGGGCCAAGGGTGAAGTTAAGCTGTGATGGAGGCTCAACAATTTTTTTCTATCTCCTCAGGAGGCTCTGGAGTTAGAATGGCTCTTTGGGGTCATCTCCAGTTGGTCCGAGGTGGCCTGGACTCTAAAATACCAAAGCATTCTGTCTTTGGATGTGGGCTACTCTGGAAAGGGCACGGCTTCAGATGAGGTAGCTCTTTTTAGTCTTGGCAATCTCTAAAGGGGCTGAGAGCATTCCAAGTGGCGGAGATAACAAGACCTTCATTGGAGGGGATCCCAGTATCCAACACACTGACCCTTATAGGGGAAGAAAATTTTTCTTTCTACCCATCTAGGTTTTTGACTAGGGCCCCTGTAAAAAAGGATAGATTAACAAGAGAGAAATAAATGGGAATTTATTAACATAGTTATTTCATATATACCTGGGAGAAATCTAGGGAATGAGTAACCCAGAGATGGCTTAGAATGCAGGCTTTAATATCATCTTCAACTAAAACAAGGGAAAGGATATAGAGGAGGCAAGTTTTAGGAGAGTGGCCAGGAAATGTAAGGTAAATAAGAGTAAGGTCCTAAGGTTTAAGTCTATGCCTTTTTTATTGATAAATTTCTCATGATTTAGTCATCCTTCTCTTCCTACTTTAAAGCGGAGGTTTCCTTAGTGAAATTTCCCTTACAAAAGGCATATTTTGAGGGGGATATATTCTGGTCTTCTACACCTTCCATGGTCTGGGAACTTTTATATAGGTTAAGTGCTCAAGAGGAGAACCCAAATCACGACTTAACACATAGTTGGAGTCAAATAATGTAGTAGAGTGCTAGAACAGGCTTGTCCGTGCTCTGAGAGCTGATTATTTATTAGGTATCTAGGAATCTTGCAAGCCAGTTGCTCAAACATTGGCTTCTTGAAATGGGCCATGGTAAGAGTAGTTAGACCATAGAAATTGTCAGGTCCTACAAATCTGAGCTTGTGGGCTTTTTTTTTTTTCCTCCAGAGAGATGATTTACTAGGACACCAGTGAAAATATGCCTATATCATTGCATTTTTAGGAAAACTGGAAATACCACACACCTCATTTTTCATCTCACAAAAAAGTTCTTTGCCACATGATGACTGTCTTAAAATTCCACTGTTAGAGCTGCATATCTTCAGCTTAAACTGACTGCTTCTAAGGTGATATAGAGAAACGCATAAGGTTTTTGTCTTAGTCCTTTTGGGCAGCTATAGCAAAAATACCATAGTCTGGGTGACTTAAACAACAAACACTTATTTCCCTCAGTTTTAGAGACTGGAAAGTCCAAGATCAAGACACAGGCATATTTGGTGTCTGGTGAGAGCTAGCTTCCTGGTTATAGATGACTGTCTTCCTGCTGTATCCTTACATGGTAGAAAGAATGAGAATGCTCTCTCAGTTTTCTTTTATAAGGGCACTAAACCCATTATGAGGGCTCTTCCCTTATGACCCAGTGACTTTCCAAAGGCCTCACCTCCTAGTACCAACACCTTAGGGGTTGGATTAACATATGAATTTTGAGGAGACACAAATATTCAGTCCATTACAGTTTTGCAATTGCACCTAGAGCTGAATCCTATCTCTGTCATTTCTAGCACTGAGATCTTGAAAAGTTAACTTCTCATATTTTTTTTTCATCTATGAAACAGATCAGTGTTACCCATGTTAGAGGATGGCTTTACAAAATAAGTGAGAAAAAGTTACATTTAGTGTTAGGTGTGCTGTAAATATTGCTCTGCTTCCTTAACATCTGCCCTTGGCAAGCATGGTTTCCCCTCTTGGGACAAAATTTGAGGAGGGCATGTTGGAGGAACTTTGGTGTTATTTTTTAATGCATCATTTTTAAGGTAGATGCACTGTTTGAAAAACACATCATTTTAATTTTAAATCAGGCTGTTTGGCATCTATCTTCTGCTGATTTCAGCACCTCCTCCTCCTTCCCCCAAATCCCCTCAAGCATTCCTGCTGTGACTGCGGTCCTTGCTGACTCAGCCCTTCACTGTCCAGCTTCTCCAGGCCAGTTGCTCCCTGGTGAGGTCTTGTGATGGGGAAGCTGGCCGCACGTTTCAAAGTTAGGTGAGGCCAAAAAGAAACTGTGGGGCTGCAGTGCTCCCATATGTTCTGAGGGTTGGAAAGCACAGTTTCTTTTGCCTATAATATAAAGATTGGCCAAGATTAAGACCAATTCCAGATTGGGGAAAATCACTCTTGATGCACAGGTTTTCAATTGTGTTGGATGCCTTTCCTTTTGTAATTCTTACCTTGGTAATGAGGAGTAAATACTCTTGGTGAGATGGGGACCAGTCCCTTCTCACACCCACCTGTTATTTTCTCTTCCCCTGCTTATATCGAGCCAATATTAGAACAGGAGCCTCCCTCACCTCCCCCCCCCCCCGTCATTTTAATACCACAGCTAGTGGCAGGAGGTAGGCTATCCATACAATGAAAGGCCCACAAAGGACCAGCAGCCAATCGAAGTTGTGTGTAGGCAGTTAAAAGGCCTGGAGTCTGGGTGCCTAGGGTCAAAGGAGGAAACCAGATCATTTGATTTTCAAACTGGAACTCTTGTGAGTGAATGGGGCCATGATAATTAGGCCAGGACAACAAGTATTACCTGGGACTATTCTGGTCAAACCAAAAGGTATGGTTATGTTAGTAAAGGCTCACAAAGGTGAGTCACAAAGGTAATAGAGGTAATTTCATGTGTCAAGAATCTTATGCAGAAACATAGGAAACTCTGGCCATCAGTGTCTAGGTGCTGTGGCAATGATCTAGAAAACCTAGGTGGTCTTTATGTATTTTTAGCCAATGAGGGCACATCCAGCAGTGGAGTGGGTAACCCGAACCCACAGATGGATGGCGGATGGAATATTGTAGTTAAGAAGGCAGCCCCTGGCGCTGTATTACTTGTTTCAAGTGCTACTTACCAGCTGTGTGATGTTGGATGAGTTACTTAATTTCTCTATACTTCAACTTCCTCTTTATAAAATGGAATATTTCTAACTACGCTGTGATTTGCAAATGAGAAAATACGTGTAAAACACTTAGAATAGTGCTGGCTTATAGTAAGCACTCAAGTTATATTAACTGTTAGTTTTATTATCATCATTTTTATCAACAAAGCAATGAACTCACAATTAGAAGCTAAGATTTGAGTCTAAGTCTTACTATTTACAAGGTATGTGATTTTGTGAAAGCCACATGACTCTCTGAGCCTTGGTTTTACCTCTGTAAAAATGAGGTGTTCACAATACTTATACTAAAGGGTTGTTGTGAAGAAAAAATGAGAATCTATGTATGAAGGCACTTTTAAAACTGTAACAGCCTTTGAAAATGTCAGTTGTTATTTTTATTATTAACTATTATTATGATTAATTGACGATTGGTAACTGTACTAGTATATAAGTGAGGAAGACAGGCCTTGAACTTCAGCCCTGCCTAAATTCTAGTGACTGTGTGTTCTAGTGACTGTGTAGTTGTTATTTCCATTTCAATCTCACCATTATTCTGTGAGGTGAACAGATGTTACTCCTATGTTTCACAATAGGAAACTGAGGCTCTGAAAGCTTGTATGATTTGATCAATATTGATCTGTGACAGAACTGGTCTTAGGACCAGGTCTTCTGACTCTAACTTCAATGTTCTTTCCACAACTCCATGCTGCCAAACTAAATATTTAGAACTATATAAATGTTTTGTTCACAATTCTCCACTTAAGTCTGCCTGGGTTTATAGACATTATCTACCTCCAATGAAATACCAGTGTTTATATCTGTCATTTTTGCATGTATAATGTTCACAGTAGTGTATTTCTAACTTCTGGAACTTTAATCACATAAAAAGTCATCATATAATGTATATGTGCAGTCAAACTGTAATAATTCTACCTAATAAAACTGAAAAAGGAAAAAAAATGACAACAGTAATAAAAAAAAAGTCATCATAGTTTTATGGTATAATATTCTTACAATTTCTCAATGATAATTTATGCTTATTACATGTAATATTACAAATAAATATATTTACATATATTTCACATTTTTCCTATGTAGTTTAAATCAGATAGTCTTTAAAACACTATAACTTACTTTATTTATTATCATGACCTAAACCTTTCCTCAGGCTTTTAAAATTTCAGGATGAACAGCCAATTATAAAACTTAAGGAAAAAAATATATTTATGACATTAGGATAGGGAAAAATTTTTTAAAGTTACCAAAGCTGAATTAAAGTAAAGATGGAGTAAATTTTACTACATTAAACTGAAAAATTTTGCATGAAAAAGACACAATTGACAAAGTTAAAAGGCAATGTCAAAAAGTTTAAAGAGGTGAGAGAATAGAAGAATTTATTTGAAATGTAAATAACCAAAACTCACAGCGGAAAAAGAAAGTGACAATGAATATATATGTATGTTCATGTATAACTGAAAAATTGTGCTCTACACTGGAATTTGACACAACATTGTAAAATGACTATAACGCAATTAAAAAATGTTAAAAAAAAATCAAAACAGAATAGTAACCAGATTGTATGAAGAACTAATAAACAAGAAAAAGTCAGACTGGGTAATAGATATGATCCAAAATTCACTGAAGAGATATCAAAAAAGTCCAATAAACAAAGGAAAATATGCTTATTTAATTAGTAATGGAAAATGCAAAGAAAACAATAATGTGACATCAGCTTATACTTACCTTGTTGGTTAAAAATTAGAAATTTGTCAGTATTAAGCGGTGGCTAGAATGTGGGGAAATACTCCTATACTCTCCTGCAGAGTGTAAATTGGTATAACCACTTTTAAGTAATTTGTCAGTACATTCTAATATTGACGATTAGTATACCTTATCATCCAGCAGTTCTATCTCTAGGTATTTTCTACTTCTGGAGAAATTTATACCTGTACGCAAAGACTTAAGTTCAAGAACATATGTCGTGTTACTTTTAGTCATGGTGACAAATAAGAAACAACCTAATTGTCCTAATTCTCTTGTTAGAGAAAGAAAAAAACAATCATGATATATTCACCAATAGAAGGCTACATAGCAGTGTAAGTGAATGGACATAATCCACATGTATTAATGTGGGTAAATCACTTCTGAATGTAAAAAGCAGGATACAAAGGCTAAATTTTGATAAAATTTAAAAATAAAAATACTAATTTTTGCTGTGGATACATATATATGAAGTACAAGGATACAGTCATGGGAGAAAGAACTCTTTCTAACTTCAGAGTATTTATTACTTCTGGAGAAGGGTAGAGGGAACGTCTTCAAGTCTGACACATCATTTAAAACTTGTTTGAAGCAAAATTCAAGACATAAATATAATAAAAAGAGAAACAACTCTAATTTAGGATTTCTAAGTTCATTCGTGCCTCTGATTGACCCAGTGACCTTCCACATCTCCCTTGAGCTCTCTAGGGGATGATATTAGGTCAGGGCTTCGAACACGTTTTTAGCAGAGGAAACTTTCATGCAAAAAAAAATCTGAAAATCCTTCCCAACATGTGAAACAGGTGAAATTAAAACTGCTCAGGCAGAAACTGGAGGGTAGAGCCAGGGTGCACACCAGTGCAGTTGTTCCCACTTCCCATCACCACCGCATCCTCCACGGAGCCCAGGGATCAGCAGAGATCAGTTTGCAGACCCCCAGATGGGTGACCTCTAAGACAGCTTCTCCTTCTGACAACCTGTCTGCGGCGCTAAGTTTTTCTTAAACAGTGACCTACTTGAGGTAAAGCCTGTTTCTCTGACGAGAGCCTGCCACGTAGAAGGGCTCTGCAGGGACCATCTGGAGGTGTGGAAGAATACTTTTCACTGTGAATAACTATCTCCTAATCTGGCTGTTCCACAGATTTGAATGTCGAGAGTAGGCTTTCTCCCCATTAAAAAAAAAATTGATTCACTAACTTTTTGCTGCTCGTATCACTTCCTTACCTCTCTCCACTTATACCTTCGTCATTCTATGTCCTGGTCTGCTCTCCTGCATCCTCCTCCCTCAGCCTTTGTCCCTTTGTTCCTCCTTAATCCCTCTGTCTCATCCTAGAGCCATGTATCAGGTTCCTGAAAGAGTCTGACACTCAGCTTCCCAAATGAAGGACCTAGAACCCACTGCTTCCGCATTCTCATCACTCACTCTTTCCTTAACTCCCTGAAACTACTTCTTGATTGAATCAATTGAAAAGGATTAACATCCACTTCTCAACTATGAAATTAAAAGATTTCTCCCGGGCTCTCAAAATTCTGTTCTCAGTCGCTGATCTCAGGATGGAGAGTCAGCTACTGCTTGATCATTCCCTCAGTCACCAGGTACAAAAGCATAGGTTCATTTTGGGTTTTTTATTTTTGCCTCTCTCTTTATTTACTGAGTTTCAGATAAATAAATTATTGAGGAAGGTATGTTCCAAATGTGATACTAAGAAATCATTCTGAAAAATTGTTGTTTATCTGAAGTTCCCATTTAACTGGGCGTCCTGTATTTTTATTTGCTAAATCTGACAGTCTTGCATCAGGGAGCAGCACCTCCTTTTTACACCGTACTTTTTTCTGGCTTTCTTTGTGCATGAACTTCATTCTCCTCTTCTCTCTGATTGTTCCTTCACTGTCTCTCTCCATGGTACTACCACCTCTTCCCATCCCAGGGTCTATTCTTGGCCCTCTTCTCTGTCCTACAGCACTCATTCCTTCAGAGATCTCCTCTGTAAGTCATCCTCCATGCTGACAGTTCTGGATCATTTCTCCTTGGCTCTGACCGTCCCCAAGTATGCATTTCCAAATGTCTCACAGACACCTCAGCCTCAGTGAGCAGAGACTTCAATTAGCCCTCAACTTTTCTGATCCCTCTTACCTCTGCCAAGTCAGCTCCTCTTCAATCATTTCTACTCAGTCACTCACCCAGGTACAAAAACCTTCTGGGGTTTTGTATTTTTGCCTCTCTATTTCACCTGCAAGCCCTGCCAATCCTCCCTGCCATATGCGTGGCTTATTCTAAGTAAATAATGCTGGATGAATGGATTTCTCCTAGGTGTGTTCCGTTCTTTCCATTCCATCCATATTTATATATATGGTGAGGCTATGGCGATTTTTGTTACACATGCCAGACATGCTGTCCTATACCTTGCTCTTTTACCTTGCCAACAGACTTTAGAAAGCAACCATATCAGTTCGTAGATAGTTTCTTCAGCCTTTCTAACAGTTCATAGTATTCAGTTTTATAGATTACAGTTGACCCTTGAACAACACAGGTTTGAACTGCACAGGTCCACTTATATGCAGATGTTTTTCAATAGCAAATACTATGGTACTTTACGATCTGCAGCACTACATGGTCCAATCTGTGGATGCAGAACCGTGGATAAGGAGGAAATGCAGAAAGGGAAGAACCTGGTGTACAGAGGTCCAGCTGTGAGTTGTATACGGATTTTCAACTGCGTGGAGGGCCAGCACCCCTAACCCCTACCTTGGTCAAGAGTCAGCTGTATACTGTGATTTACTTAACCATGATTCTGTGATTTATTTATACCATGATTTATTTAATCCATGGTTCACTTATCCTCAATGCTTTCTTTTTTCCCATTCATTCATCTGTAATGAATGCTCTTGACCTGTCATTCCACACACGTGCAAGCATATCTGCAGGACAGATTCTGAGATGAGGTATTGCTGAATCAAATGGTATGGATATTTGACATTTTGATATCTATTGCTAAAATACTCTACTAAGAGATTATACAAATTTATATTCCCAAAAGCCATTTTATTGTTTAATCCTTCTGTGTAAAACATCTCTAATTTTATCCATGTTTGAACAAATATAGTTCCAATTTATTTCCACCGGGCCAGAGAGAGGTTCACAGTCTGGGCAGTACCCACGTGCCAGGCCTTAACCGCTTCTCCTATCACTTAGGAGGTTTACATTGTCTATTTCTGTTCTCCAAGGGCTCCAAGTGTGCCCTGGGCCTCCAATCCTCAGTCCATTACTTCAACAGTTTCTTTCACTTAGATTCAGGTACAGTGAACATCTCTTGAGAAGCAGTCAGGGTTGGGTACCAAGTAGAATTCTTTACATCTGTTATCACATCTAATCCTCAAAAGCAATTCTAGGAAGTAGGTATTTGCATGCTCATATTGCAAATGAGGAAACTAAGGCTCAGAGAGATTAAGTAAATAGACTAAGCTCATCTGATTAGTAGCTGATGTATTTTCCTCAGACATTCTGAATTTATTCTTTTTTCTCCCACTCTAGTGCTGCTCACAGCAAAGCATAACTTAGGGCAGAGGAAAGGAAATGCACACCTTTGAGTTGTCTCTAGGTACGTTCCCACAGCTGCCTGCCCTGAGAGAGACAAGTTTTCTTTGAAGTCTCCAATTTATAATAAAAATGCATACAAATTTTGAATTTCACTTTTAGATATGCCTGCATTTTAAAAATATTTAAAATATTTCAAATTGCATAGTATCAAATATAACTGAAACTCCAGGAATCTGCCAGTTTCCTCTGTGGCTTAGTGAACCCTGGCTCACTGCTCCCAGGGCAGACAAAGGAGCATGGTTCTGAATGTTGATGCCCCATGGAGAGGCTCCTATCCATCTTTCAAAACCCAGCTTATGTGCTGCTTCAACGTCAAGCCTCCCTACAGGGTCAGCAAGCCCAGACAGGTGTCTCTGTCCTAGAGAACTCGGAATTACAGCTTAGCCCCCTGCCTTGTACTGACACTGCACAGCACCTTTCCTGTCTTTGACTGTAACCTTCATGGATTCAGTCCATCTATCATATATCCTCAAGAAGTTTGCAGCTGAGAAGAAGCTTGTTAGATTTCTAATGAACAAAGCTTTGAATATGAGTGAACACATTATTGCGTTAACCGTTTTTACTTTTCCAAAAGAACTGGGAATTGCCGAAACAATGAAAGTCTTCTTCTAAGTCCCAACTTCTCTTTAACACTGTTAAATCTCACTTTAAGTAGTTGTGTTAGCCTGGCACTCCCCTGGAAAATACACGTTTAGTTTGCCCATGCATGTACACCCCATTCCCAGTGATGTCCCTGTCACATTGATTGACACTGGGCGTGCCATTCATTTCTTCTTTGTCTCTGGAAAGCGGGAATAACTGCACTTACCAGCTACCACTCAGGAATGTTGTCAGAATTGATGAAACAATGTTTTTAAAAGGCCTCTTTGGAAGTAATAGGCCCCATAAATCACAGTCCCCATTAAAGTGGTTATTTTAGTACTTGGTTATTTAGTAGTTGCATAGAACACTGGTATTTCTTCCTAGATAATTCATATTGAGTTGCTGAGTGCGTTAATACTCAGGTCCAAACAGAGTTTTGTATCTGTAACCTTCTGATGAACTTAAGAACTAAACTTGGTACCTTTCCTTTCTACTCTTGGAAGTTTTCAAGTTGATTATCTCTATGAACATATGTCCGGCCCATTCCCAGCCAAATACTGGTGTATATATGAGACAATAGTTAAAACTACTGCATCCTTGTACTAGTTGAATATGTTGATATCTTTCTGTCCCTTATGTTATCCTGTATTTAAAAAAACTGAATCCCAATATTTAAAAATCTCACTTAAAGCATCCATAATTCTTTTACCTCAGGGTTTCAGGTCTGTTTCTCCAAATTAGCCATTCTTTGTATAGGATGATAGACCATCTAAAAACTGAATGGTCTGCATTTTTAAATTCTAGTAACTGTCTATAAACGTTCTGTCAATAGTTACTAGTTCTAGATGGGAAAATAAAAAAGTCAGTCCCTCAGTTCCATTGGCCTACACTTCAGTTGCTCAGTATCTCATGTGGCTTGTGGCTACTGTATTAGGCAGTACAGTAATGGCACATTTTCACCATCACAGAAAGTTCTATTGGACAGTGCTGGTCTGTAAGATTTGTGTCTTAAGACTAATGTCTTTAGCTGAAATATTCTTTAACTTTCTGTTCTTCCCAATCACATCTATCTTAGATTTTTCCTCCTCATGCTGTAATGAAAATTTTTAGTTCTTTGGGTTTTAAAAACAGTCTCACCTCCAAGGCCACGATTTGAACACAAAGTTCGAGCAAAATGACGTGTGGAATCGCCATCTGGAGGTTGGTGCAGCAGCAGATCCAGACATCTCTGAGAAATTGTCTAGGATTGGAGTTACTCCCAGAACTCTGATTTAGCAGTTCCTAAGCTTATAGCAAGTCTGAAAGGAACACAAATCTGTTTTGTATATACAAATAAATCCTCGTATGCTGCATGCCATTCTCAGCCTGCCAGTTTGATCTGGTTGTTCCAGAAAATATAATTCAATAGCACATTAGTTAACCTGCATGAAGGGAATGGGGCATTCTGATTATTGAAATGTTCTGGTTGAGTGATTAACCTGATTTTTGCAGAAAAACTGCTGAGGCAAGGAATTTTCTGTCCAAGATGTTGTGCCACTGTAATTCTCTCTCCCAGATGACCACAGCTGCATTGCTTCACTCCTCCAGAACTCAGAAATACATCTCTTTGCTAAAAGCTTTCAAAGATGAAATTGATATTCTCTCAAAGAGGCCTCTTAAAAAATAGATCAATATGGTATTTCAGATAATTTTAGAAAAAATAGTAAACTTAAAAGGAAAAGTAATATTTTTGCCCAAATATTACAGTTTTAACCTTCAAGAGTTCCTGACAACAGGGCAATTTCTTCAAATATCATAACTTGAAAATATTTATTCAGATATTTAATTTTCTTTAGTAATAAATAGTTACAGATGCTCACTAGCTGTTAGGCAATGCTATGAGGGCTTTACAAATATTAATTCATTTAATTTTTATAACTACCATAGAATTATGTATCAAATTATTATGTTCATTTTAAAGATAGAGAAAGTAAGGCACAGAAACCTATGGATGGGCCAAGCTGATCTACTTGAATGCTCACTAGTACGAAAGGTTGTAGCGTCAGTGAGGTTTATGAAGAGGGGACCCAGCTGAGGTAGGCAGCTCCTACTTCACCCACTCATCCCTTCCCAAATAGTGGATGAATAGAGCTGAAGGGCTGGGAGGGGGAAGGGAGCAGAAGGACTCCAGCAATGTCAGCTAGGCCCAAAGAAGAAAATATAGGTAAGAAAATCTTTTACTCTTACTTAAATAATTCCTGTCTGTGATGTGTAAGGTTGTTAGGGCTATATATAATTCATTCTATTTTAATAGATTTGATTCTCAAAGGTATTTTTTTTCCAATTTAGAAAATGTAAATCGAGCAATGGGCTAGCACTGGGAGGGATGAATGTAACACAGAATTGATGAAAGAAGGCATCATTGTGATCCTTGATAGGTTCCCAATTTAATGGGGAGAACAGTCAAGCTGAAACCAACAATCATATAAAAACACATGCTATAAGGGAAGGTACAAAGTGCCGAAAGAGCATAGAAGAAACATTGGTCAGTTTTGACTGGGGAAATGAAAGCATGTTTCAGAAAGGAGTAGCTTTTGAGATCCAGCTTCAGAGAGGAGTAAGAATTCAGGCATAAAAGGGGGAGGAAATTAGAAATTATAGTTGTGAAACTCATACATCTGAAAGATTTTGATGAGCACTGTAATGCTAAGAAGGCCTTAGTGGTGAAATAATGAAGGGCAGCGTGTGTGTGGGTCTGGGTGTGGTGTGTGTGTGGGTGTGGGTGGGTGTGTGTGTGGGTGTGGGTGGGTGTGGGTGAGGGTGTATGTGGGTGTGTGGTGGCGGGGAGAGAGAGAGAGAAAGGCACAGAGAGAGAGAAAGTAAGGAAGAAGAGACTGAGTCTAAGGAAGGTTTTAAAGATTAAATGAGTTTTCATTTTCAGACTGCCCAGTAAATAGCAGATATTGGATTCAAGAATTTCTACATCTCATTTCATCCTACTTCATACCAAGAAATATTTATTTTTTGGGCCAAGTTTATTTTAACATTTAAATAAAAGCCAATAAACAAATACTAGAAAAATCTATTTTCACTTTTAAATGTGTTTTTTCTAGAATCTGGAAAATATTTTGAACATTGGAAGGGATAAAATAGGGAAAACTAAGACTAAATTTCTAAAAATGTTTTATTGGGGAAAACTTTAAATAAATCCCTGTCAGAAGCTAAAATGTTTGAACACTACCAGACCCTTCAACCAGGAAAAAAAAACAAAAACAAAATAGAATAAAAGCATTTAACATATGAGGAATAAATAATTAATCAAAATAAAAGGAAAAAGTTTTCTTTGCCTAGAGAGGTTTCATTGAGGTTTTTTGTTGTTATTATTCTTATTAGCTACAGAATTGAGTATAAGTTTTACATTTAAAATATTACTTTACAGTTGTATTCAATTATGAATTTCTAAGTTTGCATTTTCTCTTATTTTCATCTCTGCTGATTTAGTAGCATTTTAATATGTCTCATACAACCTTAGCAAAGGTGACCAAAACTGTTTTGTTTTATTTTTAAACCTATTTTTAGTAGCACCAAGAAGCATCTTCCTAACTCCACTTTTGTCTTTTCTGGCAGATGACATTTGACCCAGAAATCTTCTTCAATGTGTTACTGCCACCAATTATATTTCACGCAGGATATAGCCTAAAGAAGGTAAATATACAGTGATTATTTTTTTCTTTTATCATTAAGTAGAGAATTTTGCCAGCACTAATGAAAAAACAATTATTTTATTTTATTGGTTTACCTATTTGGTAAGAATATCATTATCTTAGATCATGTAATATAGATTCAAATCTGACATTCTTAGACTTCTTCTAAACCTGTTCTGTCCAATATACTGGCCATTAGCCATGTGTAGCCATTAAGCCCTTGAAATGTGGCTAGTCTGAATGAAGATGTGCTTTAAGTGTAAAATATGCACTGAATTTTACTCAGTGTTAGAAAAAGAAGGTAAAATATTTCAATAATGCTTTATATTAATTTCATGTAGAAATGATATTATTTTGCATATATTGGGTTAAATGAAACATATTATCAAAATTCATTTTGCTTTTTTTAAACTTATTTTAATGCAGCTACTAGAAAAAATTTAATGACATATATGGTTTGCATTATATTTCTATTGGGCAATGTTATTCTAGATGATTGTAACCATTAATTAACATCAGGTTTAACCATCAAGGTGACAACTTAAGATTGCTTTGCTAATACTCAGCTGTTGATGCTCACAGAGAGAAAGTCCAGTTTTGCAGTTCCTATACACTTTCATGACATTACTTAGGTGCAGCCTGAATGTGCATATTTCCCAGATTAGGAATTCACATCATAGTTTAAACGCTAGTACCCCCTGTGCCACAAAGTGAGGCTCTGGCCTGAGTGAGTTTTGGGAAGCAGAGGAAGCGAGCTGCTTTTCTACTGCCCACCCCCCACTCCGGAGACTCCTGCGGCTCTCCTCCCAGGCTCTCCCAAAGCCTCTGGGCTCCAGCAGCCAGGGTGGCTTGTTCAGCACAGACCTGATTTTCTGGTGTTCTCCAGGCTCCCTCTTGCTGTCAATTCTGGCTACTCAGACACCACTTGCAGAACCGGAAGGGAGTTTTCCCAAGCAAGCACTGGAAAATATTTAGAAGGCTGGATTCATTCCCATAGTGCTTTCTCCTCCACAGCCCCGAGACTAAGCAGCATTTTTGTGTGATTCATTAAAATAAACTGTTGTAGGTGATTAAGGTTTTGTTTCATCACATTCAGAAGAAATATAAATCAGAGATCCAATAAAAGCCAAAAGGCAACTTAAATCTTTTAGAATAGTATTTTTAAAGTGCTAAAGGGGTTCCAGTGACAACAGAACTTCTTAAAATCTCTGTCTTCCTTTAATCATTCCAGAGTCCTGCGTGGCCATTGCCCCAGTCCTGTCCCTCCCTCCTGGGTCCAGCCAGCTCTGGCAGTCGTTTCTCTCTTCTCCACCCTGTCACCTACCAGAAGTATTTTTTCCCTTTTCTTTGGAACCCTCCATCTTTTGCAGTGTAAATCTTAAGTCTTGTTTATACAGTAAGGCCAGGAACTGAGGCTCCAAAAACAAAATTTGCCGAAATAGTGAAGGAAGGGAGAGACTGTGAAAACTCATATATTTATTTTTACCTCCTGTTACACTAAGAAAAAAACGCTGATGTGCTATATGAAATATATATATTTTTTATCCCCAGAGACACTTTTTTCAAAACCTTGGATCTATTTTAACATATGCCTTCTTGGGAACTGCCATCTCCTGTATCGTCATAGGGTAAGTGACATTCAGAACTCAAGTTCCAGAAGGCTGTGGGGCCAGTCGTCTGTGGGAGGGATCTCACATTTCCTGGACTCACACTGACTGTATGAATTATCTAGTTTTTTCAGTGTATCACGTCTTTGCACATTTTTCTGACTCAATTCCAAGGCTTGCGTGCCTTCATGCCTTTTGTTGCAAATCAAAGCAAACTAGAATTAGATTGTTGGATTTTCTCTGTGAGTTTTGGACTTCTGACTTAGGAAATGTGGATAATTTGGCTTAAGTTCTGAGAAGCAAAATGCCCTTTTTCCCTTTTTGGCTTAAATAACGCAGATAAGCATATTGTATTCTTTCTCCACCTCTATTTGACAGGAGTACATTAGTAACTATATGTCAAGGGTTTTACTTCTAAGGGAAAGTTGACAAGAGAGCAGTCTGAGACAGGCATCTCCAAAGATCAGCAGAGGTGTTTAGTGCTGGGATGGCTTTTTGGTTGATACACTGTAGAATGCAGACTTGTTTTTTCTCATTACATTTTATTGGCTATGCTGCTAAGCCCCAAGTCTAACTATACAGACTCTAGCTTGCAGCTCATCATAAAGTAAAATGTGGTACAAAATGGTGAAGCCAATCCAATTCACTTATAATCCTATCCAATACATTAAATCTCCACTGCAAAAAACATGACCAGCTGCTATGTCTGTGGTGGTGTGGATGTCTTAAATTGTCTGACACAGCCAGTTCTACCCTGGAATTTTATTGCATAAGTTGTTATATCCCTAACACAAGAAACTGAGGCTAAAAATACACATTAGTCACTCATCCAGTCCTTTCCTTATGAAGTGTTTAGTGCATGTCACTGGAAGGCTAAGAAGTTATCATTACTTGGACCTGAAAGCCGGACAGGGTTATATTGAATTCTCTTGTAAATTTTTTATTGATTCAAGCCTAGAACAACTCGGGCTACGTTATATGGAAATGTCCGGTATGATGAAGACAGTGAGGAAGCTGAAAATTTCAGCACCTGAAAGTGGAGGCTTGCCGAGGCACAGACTGGGGAGCCCATCAAGCCTGGACAGCTAAGGTCTGCCAGCTGTTTGTGGTTGAGAGACACAGGGGATTTGATCCTTCTCAAAGCATGTTCAGGGAAGGCTTTTCTGTTCTGTGGGTATGCCATAGCTCAGTATCCAAATTTCAAAGCTGTCAAGGGCCTCAGAGATTTGTGTAATTAAAACTCCTCCTTATGAAGATGAGGAATGTAACATCTTAAAAGGTAAATTAATTTTTTCAGTCTCACCATCTATGAGAAGTAGGGCATCGGTCAGGAAAAAATTCAGGACTTCTGCTCTTGATCCAGCAGGGCTTATCAACCCCCCTCTTCATTTAGCAATTTCTCTTGAATTCTTGTATTCCCTAATCATTGTTCCTATACATTGACAAAAGACTCTGAGATATGTGGACTCTCAACAAATATTTATCAGTTTGTAGCAAAGATTGATCTTTAGCAGTTCTATAATATGGAAATCTGAAATTTATAATGGATCCAAATTCTAAACTTGTGAACAATATTGTCAAATTATGGAATAATCAGTTTCATTATTACCCTGTTTCCTTTGCATAGCTGATTTTAAGTATACTTAAGTGTATGCATTTATATAATATGCTTTTACTATCATAAAAATCTATACAACTATTTTTTAAAGCACAACATTGTGTGGTGTGAGTATGTGTGTTCACACATGTGCATCGTATATAATTGACTTGTTCTTAAAAATTTCAGTTCAGGAGATCCAGTGATATGTATTTACTGGAGTTGAGAAACTCTTCTAATTGAGTTTTAAGCTACAATCAATAATTTATAATGGAGAGTGATTTGAATAAAATCTTTTAGAACCATGTTCTTTGTTTGAAGAACAAAAACTTGTAGGGTGTCTTCTTAATGTGGGTCGTTAGGGTCATTAGATTAAAGTGCAGAAGGGATAGATAGTTAAGATTTTAGGATCTTATCCAGCAAGGCAAGGGAAGCCACTGAAGAGCTTTAGCTTGAGAGTGACAAGGTCAGATTTACACTTTAGGAAGGTCATTCTGGTGGCCATGTAAAGGAGAAATTTTGAATTGGGAAAAAGATAGCAAGGGGACTGTGTATGAGACAGTTTCCCGGCTGGGCTGGAAGAGAGGAGGGCCTAGTCTCAGGCAGTGACGGTAAAAGTGGATGTGGAATCATTAACTTGTTAAAATCCTGAGAGAATGGGGTCATCCAGGGCAAGTGTGTGAGAAAAGCAAGGTACCTGGGCAGTAGCACTGTTTGAAGAAAGGGAAGAGGTATCCACCAAGCACTATCCCGTACTGGGCCAAAGAAACAGGAAGCAAACCAGCAGGGTGTGTGTCTGAAAGTCAAAGGAAGACGTGGATGGAGGATGGACAGTGTCTAACACACAGGGGGTCAAGTGGGATAGGAGTAGGTATCCACTGGATTCAACCCCTAGGAAATGATGGGTGACTTGACACATCCATCCTGTGGGCAGAAATAAAGGAAGAGTATTGGTAGGGTCAGTTGTTTTGGACACTGTATGATGGGAAACAACACTTTATTTTTATGCTGATCTCCAGACACAATTTCAGAAATTCTGAAGGAAAGGCACAAACTTCAATTCAGACCAAACTGACACTTTCATATTTTGGTGACTTCCATTGTGTGAGTCACTCAAATGTACCCTTAAACCTTAGAAAATGTCCAGTTATGTATTTCTGGAAAGTTAATACTGATAAAAACAACACAACAAACATTTATGGAGAGCTGATATGTACCATGCCCTTTTAAAAGTACTTTACATGGATTATTTCATTTAATCCTCCAAATAATCCTGTTAAGTACATATTGCTATTATCCTCATTTAACAGTTGAGACAACTGAGGTTGAGAGAGAATAAGTGTAAGTAATACGGCTGCTATTAGTAACTAACTAGTTTGGCTCCAGAGTCAAATTCCAAAAATGTGCTTTACTTCTATTTATTTTTGGCATTAAAAATAACATGTAAAATATTAAACTAGAAAATAAAGTGGTGTAAACCCAGTCAATAGTTACTAACATGCAACATGTTTCTTCATTTATCCCTTTAGAAGTTCTCACAAACATGAGACATTTTTATTAGGGGATCCCATCTGAAAGGAGTCTAGATTTTTAAGGGTAATTAAGGGTTTCCAAGTTTATGCAGAAATACTCATACTTGCATGAAATGGGCAGGAGGAGGGATTCAAGGCAGTCAGTTAGATTGGGCTCTGAGAATAAAATCATAAAGCAGGTAGTCATCTAATGAAGAGGGGTGAGTAGTTGGATTCTCCATCATCAGGTGCATTAGTCCTGTTGCATATGGGGAATATTCTGCAAGTTTCCAAGCTGGAGAGTAAGTTTCACAGGGCAGTGTCAGAGAATGTGGAAACTGACGCTAGAGAGTCAGCTGAGAGGTGACCATAAAGCCCAGGATCAGAAATGTATAGGGATGTGAAGATCATGAAGAGTGAGTGTGGAACGTGAATGAAAACTTGGCTAGTGGGCCATAATGTTCTGTAGGTAAGGACTGTGTCTAATCAAAATACAGATTGCTTTTAGGGCTGGATTCAGATGCTTTATAGGAATTGGGATCATTGGGTCCATTTAAATGAAAGAGTTTTCAAGTTTTATTAAATTCATTTCATTTCAAAAATTGGATGTAAACCATCTTTCATATTACAAGGGAAAGTTTTACAATATCCCTCTGCCAATAGAATCAAGAAATCTTAAAAAAAAATTTTTTTTTAAGGGTGGATTATTCTTAAAGAATTCAGCTACCTTTCTTGGCCTCTCACCCATTTTATCACTTAGGAAATGTTTTAAATACATCTCTGTTTTAAAATAAAACCCATGTATTTGAATTATTTCTCAATTCACCTGCTCCATCTTTGGGGGCTTTTCCTTTATCTTTGATTTCATGTCTCACCCTTATGGTGACACAGATATATCATCACAATGACAACCTACCTAATGCTTATGTCAGCACATACATGTCTGTCCTAAGAATTTATTAGTAACCATGAAATGCTGCTTCTTTAAGAGCAATGAAAATGATATCCTTCTGACTTCTCTGTTAATGAGGAATTAAAACGAATGCCACAGTTCTAAAAATATTTGGAGAAAAAGACATGGATCTAAATGATGAAGAATGGGATTTTGGTTTTTAAAATAGCTCATTTTTAAATCGCATCCCATGTGCCAGACACTGACCTATGCTTTTTTCACACATTATCTCATTTTATTCCTGTAATGCCCCTATGAGATAGATACTGTTATTATCCTTATTTTGTATCTATGGACGCTGACGTTGAGACTTGCTCAAGGTTACACAGTAAGTAAATGGTAATAAATGGCAGAGCCCGTCTGACTTCAGAACAGACACTCCTAGAATCTCCGTGTCTTCCTCCCCCTCCTGAGATAGGCCCTTACGTTTCCTGTAGTGTTTCCTGTAGTTTGATGAATAGCTACATCTGCCAGACAAACCAAGCCCTAAATAATTTCAGGTTCATACATTTATCATTATGGCTAGCAATTATGAAAAAAATCTGCACATTAAGAATGAGCTGTGAATACAGTTGCGAAGTAGAAATGGAACCTGTCTTTTCTTATTGGAGGTATTTGGAGGGATAGTCTAAGTCCATTTTACTTGCTTAGAATTGCTAGACTCTGGGTAATGCACTCTGGAAAACCTGGCTTCAGAAATGTGAGGTTGTTTATATTATTCAAATCAACATGCCTCTGAAATGTTGGTTTTCCTGTTGGGTTCTTTAATACACCACCAAGCACACCTGACACTTTGCCCTCTTGTGTCATTGTGCCTGCTGACCTGGGGACCTCAGGCCTAAGTGCCAGTGGTGCTGGTTCTGGAATTGCTGTTCCTCTATCCTTAACTAGGATAAGGTATGGCGAGGTTCAGTAGTCTTAAAATGCTGACTCCTAAACCTGGAAGAAGGGACAAGGATCTAAAACCAAATCCTGAAGAGGTGTAGTTCATAGACGGATTCCAAGTGATAGATACATCAATGTCTTAAGCTCTAACACTGGAAAGAGAATGACTTAGAGCAGAATTCTTAACCAGGAAACACAGACCCTTAGATGGTGCATAGAAGGACTTCAGGAAGGCAGTCAACCCCCTTAAATTATCCATGAATTTTTCATGGGAGACAGTCTGCATAGATTTCACTGTTTCATCAGCTTTGCTAGGGAATTACAAAGGACAAGTGTGTTTTTCAAGAGCCTAAGCAAAGAGAGAGTTGGGAAAGGAAGGATTTTAATATCTCCATATTTAATTAGGACTGAAGAATTATCTCAACTGCATTCAGGGTAGCTATAAAGTATTGAAATATGCATGCTATTATTTTATCATGTACCATAATGCAATAACAATAAACCAGCTATTACATAATTGTCTGTGTTCCCAGACTTGGTGGCCCTTCTATATTCATATGTGAGTGTGGAAGTGCCAAGTTGTAGAGTCTACAAATGAATTGGTTTTTATAAAATAATGCAAAATTATTTCCAAAGCAGTTGTGCCAATTTTTCTTCTTAATTTTTTGCTACCTGACATGTGTGAAATCAAATTATTCTGTGGACTTTATTGGTATTTCCCTGATTGTTAATGAAATTGATTATATTTTCATATGATGCCAGACCAAATTTTTTGTCCATTTTTCTAATGAGTTGTTTTATCATATTT